CGGATTCCGTTTCGTACAGAACATACAGTGCAACCCCCCCCCCCACACACACAGTGCAGAACATATTACTCGCTGCGTATGACGCTACTACGAGCAATTTATACAGCACAGTAGTAGAGGGAAGCATAAAAAAATGTTTTTTAATAGACTGACCGACACCATACCTTCAAACTATGACAATCCTGGTCAAACAGGGGTGTTCGACAAGTTCATTAAAAATTATAAACATATCATGATAAACAAAACATTTTTCAAATAAGTAAAGCTTATATTCTTCTAATTAAAAATTAAATATAAAACATTTTACATATAATTTGAAAAACAAAATATTTTTTATCGTGGTCGCACAGCAGCGGGCATATGTAAAACTGTCGGCGCAGCAATGCCTCCGGGCATAAGGTTCAGGGATTCTGGGTTAATGTATCCAAGTATAGTCTGTTATTTTAAAATAGGCATTTCAAGGCCATTGTCAGCCCTTCCTCCCGATTTGGATTTTAAATCGTGACATCATCACCGCACAGCAATTAGTTTCTCCACATCATTTGAGAATGTAGTTCAAGTCAGCTTTAATTCGCGTACTTTTCATGAGCAGAACACGCTAAATGGAACTGAAGTGGAAGAAAAAATTTAGCGAATTGACCTTTTTTGTGCAGCTGTTGTTATCATGGTTATAAGTTCAAATCGGGCGCCGAAAAATAACCTTGAATTTCCTGTTCTAAAATAACAAACAATGGGAATTGTAAGATCCCTGGTTTGATTCTCAGCAAGAATGCTACTGATTCTTCACAATTCCTGTTCCAAATACAATCTGTTGTACAATCCTGTACAATTTCTTGCAATTAAAAAAAAAAAAAAAAAAAAAAAAAAAAAAAAAAAAAAAAACTGAAAATGAGGCGTATGAAAGTCACTCTTGTACTAGAACAAGATTGGTAAACTTGTAATAGCTTTTCTATCTTATAAAATTTTTGGATCCAATAGATTATTTTCTTTTCAAATTAGTAGATAGTTAGGTAGAAGATACTAGAAATTCACGATTGATATAGTACCGCAGTACTAACTGTTTAGCTCCAATTTTGATGGAGGTAAAGGATGTCCCACTCCTCTTCTCCGATCACCACCTTTCGAGAGGACTTTCGGCTCTCCGTGTATTACCTCTTTGCCACTTAGAATTATATGCACTTACAAACATCCATCCATGCAGGGCCGGATAAAGATTTTTAGAGACCCCAAGCATTTAAAAGATTTGAAATGCCATGTTTACGCCAGTTTTTTCTTAATTCCTTTTCTCTCTTTCGGTTATGGTTTAGCTTTACCGTGCGTTCCACGTTAAAACCGGCATTGGAAATTTTTTGGATCCCCCTTTCCTGTGAAGCCCTAAGCACATGCTTATATTGCCCTTAATAGTTAATTCAGCCCTGCATCCATGCCTTCTCCGTATTCGAACCTGGCCCATCGGCCCGGCAGTCAGGGTCACTGACCATACCCGCTGGGCTGCAGTATGTAAGGCACATAATCATTTTTTTTAATCAATGATATTAGTATTTTAGATCGAATAGTTTCATATAGTGCATCAATATAGTCATCAATACATTCATATAGTGTCAAAAAACAAATGTGGCACCTTCCAAAAAGTATCGCTATATAAATTTATTTTATTTCTGAATAAATATTTTGATTGCCATCTTAAATTGAAATAATTTCTTGAATCATTTGCTTCATTAACGTAGAGAACAGGAAAATTAAAATTATTATTTGCGTGCTCGGTAGAGAAGTTAGAAAATAACTTCTCTACCGAGCACGCAACTATTTAAATCTGTTGACATGAGTTCTGTATTATTGCTAACTCATTTTGCATTTCGGAATCGATATTAAATCTTTATCGAAATTCATACGATGGATGGGCCTTTGTTTTTTTTAGTTATTCGATATCATTAAATTAATTGCTAACGTACCAAAATACAAAATTGCGTTGCGCGGATCAACATTCAAATGTTTTGCGTATTTCACGTTCTTCTTACATAATGTTGTTTATTTGCTAATGTTTAAAAATTCATCTTTTCTGGCTGTAGCAGTAATATTTATGATGAGACGTCATTGTAGATGCGATAGTGGTAGGCACGTTGCTCTTCATCATGATAAGGGAAAAAGAAATTGTGTTCGCGCTGCTCAAAAGCTGATTGTATATATTCAAAACACGAAAAGCAATTTCTGACTTTAAGTGCTTCTGCCCCTCCCCCGTTAAGAGGAAAAAGTGCTTTCCTTGTCCTTTGAAGAACATATCGATTGCCTTGCCTAAGGTAGTGCTGTTTTCCATTCTCAAATCATCAGACTTTTTAAGGAATTTCCTTCGTAGTGTGTTTAAATATAGTAGTAATGAAATTGGATTGTATTTTTATGCAGCTTATAACGTTACCATATTTCAATTTCTAAGTTTATTAGAATGCCATTTGGATGATAAGCTGCTATCTCATCTATGCAAAAAGTGGAAAAGAGCTTCTTTCTTCCATCCTTTTTTTTCTCTTTAGAAGATCACAGTGGAGGAAAAAATGAAACTATGAATGTTGCTACAATTTTTTGAAAATCGAATGCTTATTTTGTCTTTCTTAAGATTATGTGTATTTAGTGGTATTTTTCATCACTCAATTCCTGTGTAATAAGGTAAATATTTTTTTTATTTAGTTATTAGTTGTGTTTGAGCTTTATTGCCATAAATTTACTCAGTATTATTATTCAGAATCAGAGCAAATAAAGAGCTTCTTAATGACGATGCATTTTGCCTTAAATTGGACATAAATTAGATGTTATCATGATTAAATCTCGCTAGTTAATAAAACTGCTTCTTCTAGGTTATTTGCTCCTTTTTTGCTCTAAAAGTTTAGTTAATTTTCAGATAAGATATAGGGCTAGCCTTTAGCTATATCTGGAATTAATCCTAGTATGCGGTACACACGGGATTTGGCGGCTTTTGCTGACACTATGATGAGTAGTAAACGCGGTATTTATAATGAGCAGTAAATGAGTTATTTTTATGTCGGCGACAATTTTCAAAATCGCGCTAAGGCCGTACCGTATACTAGGATTTTACCAATACCTAGACTTCTAGTTCTTTCCTTTTTCTTTGGGAGGGGGATGGACAGAGGAGATACATCTTTTTAGTCCAAAGGGGCTTTGTCCCTGAAGGACTATTTGTTTTGCGATTTTGCATCGAATTACTCTGAATGTGCGTTTCACTTTTCAAACTCTTGCCACCAAATATTATCGCCCTCTATTATATTTGAAGAAATTAAATAATGAAGAATCTGCATAAATGTATATATGTTTCTCGCATTTTGATGAAACAACGGTACCTAGAGTCGTCAAATTTTGAATGATGTAATCCTACTGCGAATATGGGCATGTGGAAGCACAAAGTTGAAATTTGGAATTTGTTTTATTATCGATTTCATATTTTGTAAATCTTTAACGAATTTTTTGATTAACAAACTCAAGGATTTCGAAGCGAACTATGGCAACGTTGTACAGACAAAACATTTTTATATCTAGCGCGTGGGACTGTTTATCGGAAATTCTAAAGGTACACTCAATTTAAAATTATTTTGCGATATTGCTTTTGAATGAATTTTATGGTTTAAGTGTGAAGAACATGTATTTAATAAATAAAGGTAACACACAAAATGTTAAAAAAAAAAAAAAAAAAAAAAAAAAAAAAAACGGCCCCTTTAAACGTAATTTAAAATCTGAAAACTTTAAAAACTTAACTAATAAAATTTGTTCGAAAAATTTATAAAAAATATTTAAAAATTCAAATTTTAAAAATAAATCATAAAAAATGCGCGAATTATATTTGGATTAAGCCTAAATTTTGATTTCTGGAAGAAGAAATCAAGTAAGTTTATTAAAAAAACAGAGATTAATAAATATATATCAAATTCAATTAACAATGAGGAACTAAAATTTTGAGAGCTAATTTTTTATTAACTACTCGTGCGATTTTTATACTCGTGCGAGTCGTAGAATCGAAATGTGGGAAAAAATTAGCATGTCATTTCAGAAAAAGTTCTATTTTGTGACAAAATACCTATGTTAGAATGACGCTATATGTAAATCTGATATATATCCTAAGTCGCGCTTTCGAGACATGAAAAGAGCAAGTTGAATTTCGTCAATCGGGCCTGTTTCCCTTTTTTTCTTTTTTGCGCAGTGTAGTGCGCAATGGAATAGGAATAGTAGTATGAGAATATCAAACTGTCTTTTTTTTTTATTTTTTTTCCCCCGCAGTGTACATTAATTATTAATTTAGTTCTCATCGTATTTAAAAGTAGTGTAAGCGAAAGATTTCTAATCCTAATCCTAATAGTCTCTGGTATACTGGTACTCAATCACATTAGGATTTTAACCAGTTCGGTATTCATATGCTTGAGGCCAATTGCGTGTGCAAATAAATCAAGGTGCGAACGCACCCACCCGAAGGCAAAGATACTGCGGCCGTGGAAAGGGGAGTCAGGGTTTTGTGAAAATAATTTAAGTTGTATGAGTTGAAAGCTTTCATTTATACAACTTTTTATACTGTATGGTGACAGAATTCTGTCTCCACACAGTATAAAAGTATGAGAAAATGACGAAATGAAATTAACCGAAGAGCATAAAATTTAGAATATCTAATTAAATATTAATATATTTTGCATCAAAATCATATTATAAATGGTTTAATAACTTGAATTTTGCATTATAAAGTCGATTTAAATCAATTTAGATTTCTTTAAAAATTGCGTTGCCGCCCCTTTCGCTTTTTGGTACTTTAGGTTTGGCAGCTAGTATACAGTTTGATCAGACTGTCAATACTAAACTAGCTAAACTGTCAGCTGTGGAACTACTAGTCTTAACCACTCAATCTCTAACGGGACATTGTATATCCTATTCAATTAACTGTCTTGTATATTTTAAAATGACTTCTGTGCAAAAAATTCCTTAAATTTAATGAGCTTTTTTTTCTTTTTCAGTTAGAAGCCGGTGATGTTATTTTGGAAGTCAATGATAAAAAAGTCGTCTCTTTGACAACAAAAGAAGGTATGAAATGCATTCAAAAAATTGATCTGTATAATTTCCTATACCATATTTTTCATTAATATTAAGAGAATGAATTTCATAATATAAATTTTATGACTGTTATCTTTTAACACTTGAGCAAAAATTAATTTCGTGACAAAGCTGAGATGTTTCATGTAATTCAGATAAAAATCCATATTTTAGGGAACTTTGATATTTGAGTGTAGAGTTGATAAGTGGCTTAAGGAGAAAATGTGATATACTTTTCGGTTATCAGAACTGTATTCAGAAATGTATATAAGTATGCATGTGTGTGTGTGTGTATACACATACATTCATACATTTCTGAATTCAGCCGTGCTAACAGAAAAGTATCGAAAATATTTTCAGTCAAGATACTTACATATTTTTTATTTATGAGCAATATATAGTACAAGAAAAAAATTGCATGCTGATCTGATTTTATTTTCATTCATTTTTTTACTTTTCATTGAAATTTTCTTTTTATTAATGCATGAATTAAGTTTTTATTAACAATAAATATATGCTTGCACTTTCTCATCTTTGTTGCTATTAATCTCTATCTAGTATTGTTCAATTTACATCTTTTTCTAGAGTTTGATTTTCAGAAATTGCATTAATTTTCTATTCTATATTTTCCAACATCATCTTACACTTTTTAGCTGCTGTGGATTTTTAAAATTCTTTCTGTAGACTACTTATTATCTCCTTTTTATCTTTATCGCCTTAACTCTTTTTACATCTCTTTTGTATGTGCTTTTCTCTTTTTATATCCATTTTTGGTTATGCTGTTTCAAAGGTTCTGTTCATGTAATATATCATGTATCTATTGATAAAAGTGTCATCTGTTATAAAATTAGAGAAGTATTAGCTCAAAATATTTATTTTAAAACTTATTTGAAGATGTAGCAGATTAATAACTATTTGAATGCATCATATGCTTTAATATTTTTAGAAATAGAAAATACAAGATTCATTTGAACTAAGAAAAATAGAGAGTCTGAGATGTTCTAGTTCACAAGAATAACCCTTATTTAAGTAAAACTGATAGATTTAAATTCATTTAAACTTGCATTAATATGTAAGTAATTAAAATTTTAAACATTTCAGGCAGAAACAGATTTTAATTAGTAATGCTATTGATAAAAAATTATTCATTTATTCATATTTATTATGAATATCCAATTTTATTTGTATTTACTTTGTTTCTTATATTGTAACAATCCTGCTATTCAACAAATTTTGTATTTGAATATTGCTTTTCATTTTAAAATTTGTTACATTGACTACAAGTATAAAAAATAATGAGCAGTATTTTTTCTATGATAGAACTCTTTCTTAGTTTATACATTTGTCATTTGATAAATCAAAAATTTAAATCTGTTTCTTTTCCTATATACTAATCTCTTGCAGTTCATAGACAATTGCATTTGACTGTTGATTAGTTATGTTTAGTGGTCAGTTCAACATAAGGAACTCATGTCAAGCTTTGGAAAAAAATTTAAATGCATATTAATAACTAATAGGAAATACAGTAATAGTTTTTTATGTGTAATTGTTTCTATTCCTTTAAAGTTTAAAAAACATAAATTTCAATCATATGATTGATCTCTTGCTGTCTGGTGATAAATTTTTTTTTTAAAGCTGTGATGTGAAATCAAGCTAATTTTTAAACTGTTATGTAAATTATTAAATTACATGACCGACCAGAAGATTAAATGTTTGGAAGATTTTGTGAGGACCTCCATTTGATATAGCTAATATAGACTGGACAGAAATATCTTCTTTATATCAGTTATTTAGTCTGATAAACCTGTTTAAATATATATGTATTAATGCATACTGCAATCTTCATATATCTGACTACTGAATCCTGCATCACAAAAATTGCTAGTATTGTAGTCGGTTATACACATTATGTACAGGAGGTATTTTCTACAATAAATCAACTCATCGAAATCAAAAACATTTGCTTAATGTATTTTAGATCACTCGAAAATACTGTTTTTTTCTTTAACTAGAGTTGTCTGTTTTAATGCTCCCAGAGTTACCTCTAAGTGATTTACCAACTATTATATTTCTTTAATAAATTTTCCTTTTTCATAATTCTTTTCACTTTAGAAGTTCCTAATTATTTGACCATTGGCTTACATGTAGAGTAAAACATGAGTCAAATTTTCTTATGTCACTGTATGATATATTTATCCTAAAAATTCGTTGTTGTGGCTAATCTTATTTGGCATACCTGATCAGAACAGGCCCATTAATTTTATCATGCTGTAAGACTGCCTCTGTTGTTGGCATGAGCCTTGAATATCATGTAAGTGACAGTGGGATTTTCCCCAGTTCCATCTGAATTCTAAAGGAGACACCCCAGGTATGAACCCGAGGGTATCCCACTCCTCTTTCTGAGCCACCAAACCACTTGAGAAGTCTATCGACTTGCCATATATTTTAAGTGCTGCCATGTCACACAGACACTCTACATTTACAAGCATTCATGCCTTATCTGAGATTTGAACCCAGGCCTGTTTGATAATCACATTTTTTATGCTAGCAAATACATTAATTATATTTTAAATTATGTATTTGTAAAATTTTATCAAATCCTTTTTAGTGTCTTCTATTTTTCTTCTGGTTCCTGAAACTGAGTAGAATTTTAATTTGACTGGAATTTAGTGCACTAAATTAGGGTTTTTATAAAATGATGCAGCTATGAAATTTTTTTGACATCTCCAAATTTTATAGCGGGGTTTTTTTTTTTTTTTTTTTTTTTTTTTTAAATATTAAGGATTATTTGTATTCTGAATACTTTTTGTGAGAAATCATGGTTTATTTTTTTCACACATGGTGCTCCATTTGGATTATAAATGTATTTTAAAGATCAGTGCTTCATTTTCTTTTGACTTATTTTCATGCATGCATTTTTATTTTTATTTTTATTCTGTTTTCAATCTTTTTTTTAAATATGTGTGAGCTTTTAATTACATATTATTTTTTGTTTAATAATTCATATACATTTTAGTGCTCAAGTGCCTGAGGTTATCCAATGATGTAGTGACACTGAAGGTGAAGAAAGGTATGATTTTACTGGAGTGCAACATTTTATTGCATCCTTTTATGAGATTTACTTTATTTACCTTTGTATCCACACATATTCTTTATCAAAGTAATGTTTCACTTTCTTTCATTTTAATACAGTTTTTTTTCTTATTTTACTTATGATTATAGTACTTTATATGCATTAATTTTTTGTTTGATATTTTATAACCAAATAGTTAAAAAAGATCAAATTATGTTTTCAGCAGTTTCATTGATGTACATTCTTAAGTCATGCTCTTTATAACTAAATAATTTTTCTTGCAGTTATGATGCTTTTAAATTCTCTTTGCTCAAAGAGTGTGTTATTATGTGAGAAATAAAAAATATATTGTATAGTCATTAAATTTACTCCATTTCTTTCTTTTTTCTTATAGTTTTCTCCCAGTTAATAAATAATTAGTGTATCATGATACAGTAATAGTCTATTTTAAAGTAATTAGTTAACGTAACATCACTTATGAAATTTAGTCTATTCTTTAACAGTTCAAAGTAAAGTTTAATCTGTTATAACTAGCTGTTTTTCTATATAGTTACTTATTCTCAATATTTGAAGATCTATATATCACATAAAATTTTATACAGAGTTGTTTTTCAACACGGAGAACAAATAATTTCACTATAAGAAAATTTATAAGGAATTTTTAAGAAGTCTGAGATCTCGTACTCGTCGGGATTTGGCAATTCCAAATATTAGATCATCAGTTTAAATCTGGTAAGATGACATGTAAAAATTATAAGATTAAAAACATGAAATAGTGGCATATAAAATAAAAAAAAGCATTTATGACCTTACAGATTTCACCCCCTCCCAAAAAAAATCAACATTTGTGTCTTTCATTAACTATTTCTTTAATTATAGGACATTTTAAGGTGCTCTGGGCTAATACTCTTTCTTTAATGTTATAGACAGACATAATTTTGTGTTCAGCTACAGAATTGCATCGTTCAAGTCCTGTAATTTTGTCTAAAATTCCCTCTAAATTATTGATCGAATTTTTTTTGTTCTCAACACCACTCTGTCACTCTCTTCACTATCAGTAGCGATACTTTATATCTGTAGAACCATATTTCGCTGTCTGTTAGTTGATTGATAATCAGGGCATTGCCATCTCAGTGGAAAATATTTTGTTATATCATCTTCATTTATTAAAACTTCTCCACAAATTCATTACTTGCAAAATTTATTAGCATTTGTTTTCTGTATTTGAAAAAATTCAGAATCTTGGCTGTCATCTTAAAGCTTAGCTAGTGTCTGCTATACACTATTGGCAATATTGTATAAGAGATTGGTGACTAAAGAAATGTTTTTCTTCTAAATTTTGACTTCCTTCTATGTCACGCTGACGAAGTTAAGCCTGAATTATATTAGTCCAGTTATTTATTTTACCTACGCCTATCTACCACACATGCTTAAGAATTATATGAGTTCTAAATAAATAAATTTTCCTAAATACTTATCCTATGTCGGTAGTAGACATTTTGTGACTTGGTGCAGTCTCTGCAGATCCTAAATCTGCTGCCAAGCACTTCCCTAATTTAGATTAAAATTTTTGCTGCCTGTAAATCTTGCATCTCAGTCCCTTCCCTAGTTTCTAAAGATTTTGCCACCCTTAATTTTGTTGCTTGGTATTTCTCTAAATTTTGCTACTCTGCATGGCCGTACCAGCTCTGGCGCTGATCCCTGCCTCATCTGAATAACAAATCAGCTGTTTAAATTCAGAATGATTCAGAATTCAAACAGAACTGCACAATTTTTTGTCTTGTGAGTATCATTTACAAATTTATTTTTCTGAATATGGAATGAAATTTCTGTTTAATTTCTTCTCAACACATTCGAAATTTCATGATGCAATTAACTGAAGTAGTCTGTAATTAATGCCAAGTGTAATGCCAACATAGAAAGATACCATGTTGTTTGGTATTCAATTACAAATGTTTAAAAAAATATTAAGCCATGTTTCAATGTAGGATGTTTCAATCTGAGATGTGTGCCAAACAAAAAGATGGCTACATAGCCGAATTATTAATTTTTCAGATTTTTGCAAATAAATTATAGTTTCTTCAATATGGAGGTAGTTTATTTGGTGTTGAAGTGAAATTAAGAATCGAGATTTTCCACATATTTTACTATGAAAGACTATTAAATGCACGTGGCTAAAAACGTACAAAAAAATCTGAAAAAAAAGGGCTAATAGTCTGGATTTTGGATAATTTCGGATTTGACTTTGTACTGTAGAAGATTAGTTTATAATTTCCATCTTAAAAAATTTATATATTTTAAATTAAAAAAATTTTTTTTTCATTTTAATGTTAATATATTTTTTCTAGACGCCTCAATCAAAGAGCGGGTTCACAATCACATGGCGGCATCGAGTGAACTGGAAGCATTGAGAAGATCCTATGTCAAAGAAAATTCTAATTCTTCCAGCAACGGTCACATAGATGCACAACACAAGCTCAATTCCTGTGAAAAGTTTGAATCAAATGGTGATACGAGAGAAAATGGTGAGAACATTCCCCCATCCCCCACACAGCCCACAAAGTCTCATGTGAGACAACCGCCTCAGCCAAAATTTGAAACTTTTATGATGACAGGTGATCTCATCATTAAAACTAAAAGCAGTAATGCAGGACTTATTTTACCAAAAAATAATATCAAGCAACCTGAAGGACTTATACAATATGCACAAGAAACCATTTGTTCAAATCATGAAAATGGTAAGCAAATGTATTACATTAATTTGGATTTGAAGTAATGGTATGACTAGCTATCGGTTCAAGTATTAATGGAGCATGTAATTTTTTTAACAAATCCTTTTAGTGACAATGATAATTATTGTTTGTTTATTTTTATTTAAGGCCATATAATAATACAAAATGGTTTTAAAAGTTTAAATAACACACTGCATATAATTACAAATTTTGAAACATTGATTTTGCAATCTTCTAAATAAGCACTTGGGCTCTTTCTAAGTGGTGGAAAATGTCTCGTTCTTAAAAGATTTTGTAATATATGTAAATCATTAAATATGAATATAAATTTATGTTTTATATATGTTTAAATAAAATTTTGAATGAAAGGAACATGAAGGCAGTGGCTGTCTAAATTTTGCTGCGTAATTTTCACTATCTTATTTTATTAGTGGTTACTTAAATTTTATATTTGATGCAGACAGCAATTACAGTGAAGTCCTGTAGACTTGTGTAAAATATCACATTAGAAACCATATTTTGTCAGTCATACTTAAAACGTGGCTAATAAAATATGAAGCCATATGTCATTGAGACACGTATGTCATTTTATAAACAGCTTATTTTGTTACTTTTATAAATAAGGCATTATTTTAGACTGGGAAGATAAATGAAAGATTTAAGAAGTTTTATCTGTATTTTTTGGCAGTAGTTTTTTAACTAATTCTGAAACATATTTTGTGCAGAATTAAAACATTTGCACTTAGAAGGTTCCCACACTCTCATAAAAATGTTTATTTGCATTAACTTATGCCAGACAAGCTTGAAATAATATAGATATTTGAGAAATCAATAATTAGCATAGGATATTTAACCTTTTGAGGCCGGGGCTTTGGTAGCAGTAAAAGCTACCAAAGGACAGGGAATCCTGAACCAAATGCTTTCACCCTTTAAGAACTCACCTCCTATTTGCAACAAAGATTCTTGCGTGTAGTTTAATGGATTCTCAGAGGGGTGCATCTATGTCGCAAAAGGAAGACCTTTGAAAGAGATAAGTGGTTAAAACCCTAGGAACGTCAAATTTGACATCTCACCCCACCTTTCAGCCTGGAAAATGGGGGAAAAAGACATGGCCACTAAAGTGGACAACCCCATCTTTTCAAAGAGAGAACTCTATGGCCACTATAATGGCCATCATGTCTTCAAAAGGTTAATGCAATTTTTTATTATCATACTTGTTTGCTAGTTGTATGAACTACGGTGTAGTATCGTTTATAAAGTTCTGTCAAGGCAATTGAAACAAAAACTGGAAAAATGTATAATTTAAGTTAAACCATAGAAAAGGCAGTAAATAATATTTCTAAATAAAAACATATGGGGATAAACAAGTAAGAAAGTTGTTGCCATTCAAGAAGAGTGTTTAATTTTTTATTCACGTACTTTCATATTTATAAATTTCTCAGAATCTATAATGCAAGAATTATTTATTTTAAAAAAAACTATGACTTTAATCACAATATGAACAAAATTATATTTAATATCTTAGCTAATTATTTTTAAAAACTGAAATAATTTATACATTTATTGCTTTTCAGATAGTTTATGTTAGTTTCTTGGAGTTTTCTTGAGTGTACAGATTTTGATTTTCATTAGTATTAGGACTATCAGTTGTGTTCTTATTCAAATTCTTCATTATTAAACATCATGTTACAGTGTTTAAGACTAATGTCATTAAAAATGAACTGCAACTCTAATTTTTTTTTTTAATTAAGCGTTTCCAATTTTTTTTTCAACCCCACATTGTTTTATCTGCATTTAATAGTAATGATGTGAAGTGATATAAATCTTTTTGTACATGTTTTTCATGCATGGCCACTTCATCGTATGATTCAAAATTCATTCAGCAGTAACAGAATCAAAAATAGCAGTGTTACTATGAGAAGTTACTCATTTAAACTGAGAAACATATTGCATGTTCAAAATTTCTAATAATTTCAAGTAACACCCTTTACTATGAAATTCATAGCTTGTAAAATATTAGCTTTTATTCTTCGTTTGTCCCTGATATAGATTATTGTGCATAAAATAATGTTGACAGCTGTGTTGATTTTACCAGAGGTTCTTGGTTTTTCACACATCTTTCACTCTCCTTGTATATCATCAAATCTCCCGGTCTTTTATTTTGAGATTCTGCTGAAGAAAATAACTAAAGAAAATGTTCCCTACAATAAATAAAATTTATTGAATTAATGAAACTTAATTTACTTTACATCACAATCATGTTATAAATAGTTCAATAACCTGAATCGTATATTTTGAATTTAAGTCTATTTGGAGTTCTTTTGAAATGCTGCTGCTGGGTATCAGTAAATCTCTTAGGAAATTCTTGGTTTTCATGCACGGATTTCATGTTTGAGATTTTGTATTTTCATATTTAAAGGGTGGTACTATGCATAATAACTACAGTAAATGTTTCATGTAAAATTCTTTCATGTTCATTATTTTAGCTAATTCTAACAGCTGTAATGTACTTGTAAAATCTGCAGGAAAGAAACTGATTCATATATTTTGAAAGAATTTCAGTTTCAGGAGGGTGATCTGGACACTTGTTAATAAACAGTGGTGTGCTTGTTTTTTTATCATCTATATTTTATCTAAGTTTTACCCTGCCAAAAAATAAGGTATAGTCAACTTGCCCTAACCATTTTGAAAGATGGTTAAAAAGTGCAATATATGGCTTCATGCAGTTGATTTTTGATAAATTATTACCCTTCTAAGATTTGATTCTAAGAAAACAGTGCACAATTTCCATCAGACAAAATGGCGAATCTGCTAGGAGATGGAATTTTTTTTCTCTTTTACCCAAGCATGAAAAATGCACGTTGAGTTGGTTTTAATAGTATATAATTGAAACTATTTTCAATTGTAGCATCTCAGAGATTTAGAAATAAGTTATAATTAAGACACATATGAATCGTATTCTGCTGTGTTTGCTTTTATGATTAATAACTGAAATCTTGCTGCAGTATAATGCACCTGTTAGTGTAACAAGATATTAAAAAAGTGTAAAGAAGTGAAGTATTTAAAGAATATATAATTCCCATAAATTATAGTTTAATTAAAATAAAGAACATTTCAAGTTCTGTAATTTAATAAGATTTATTTAGTTATTATGCAAATATTATTATATTCTTCATTAGTTTTTCAAATTGTGTATTATAAGTTTTACTACTGTAATATTATTATTTTTAGCTGTGGTTGTTTGCTGTAGTTTGATGATGCTTTAAAGAATGCTCTATTTAACTTGACACTTCTTAATTCAAATTTATATATATATATTGACTAGATATTATTTCATTTAATTTTTTAAGAGGTGATTGAATTTGTGAATAATTCTTTTCATCTTTTATCTTCAGATACATTATAGAATTAAACAGTGAAACAAAGAACTTTTGATTTTATATTTAATTCAGTGTATTATTATTATTATTATTGGGAAGACAATTATTATTTAACTATTGCTTTTTTAATCTTGTTTATTGTGAATATTTATATCATAAGATTATGTTATAGTTTATATTAATTTGTTAAATTTTTCTTGAAAATATCTGACTTGTATTTGTAAAGTTTTATTTGTTAGATTATTCTTAATATTGTACAATAAGTGTATGCATTATTTAACGTCTTTTTAGAAAATGTTATTATGCATTACAAAAAAGTTTTTATTTAAAAATGTGTAGAGATTTTATGATATTGTGAATCAGTGAAATATTAGTGATATATAAGGTTTGAAACATAGTTCATGTTTTGATCAAATTTTTTGTTTTGCAAGTATATAAATGTCATTATTTTTTAGACAGCAAATAATTGTTAATCTGAGCTAACTCCCCCCACCCATAATACCATAGGAATATATTAATTTTATCCTGGTTAAACCTAAAAACATTTGACCAAAATTACAGAAATTACAAGTAGTGTATTTAAACATATTTTAATAGAAAGATTTAGTGTCTAAAAATTGTTTAAAAACTGTTTGTAGATGAAAGAAAAAATTTTGTGGGTAAAGCAATGCATAAACGTCTGAGTTAATTCATGTGGGGATTTAAAACAGAGTCCAAAAATAAGTTTATTTTTGAAGCTGATTCATTTCCTGGTTAATCTGGAGGGGTCACTGTTTTACTTTTTCTTTATAAACTCAAATTTTTCTCTTAAATTTTAAATGATAAACTCTTCTGTTAACAAAACAGCTGTCTAATTTTGCTTTGTTGATCCATTTAAGCTGAAGCAAAGTGTAAAAATGATGTATTCATATGGCATGTGGATTAATACTTTCTAACTACAAATAACTGGGAAAAATTTAGTTGGTTTTAAAATGATAAACAAAATGTGCTGCAAGTTTTATGCTAAAAGAATACAGCAATTAAATGCAATACATCATTTTCTATAAAACGTCTTTACTGTGGAGAAATACATGCAGAGAAAATGCAAATCAATTGCTCCATCTCTCTTGGTGGTTTCATCTAACTTTATTTTGACTATAATTATTTGTAGGTAAATTAAATGATATTTGATAGTATTAAAATCATAGCATGTAATTTAAAGAAAGGAAAAGATAAAGATTCCTGAAGTAATATTTTTCCCCTGTTGATGGTATAATATTATTAAAACTTAGTATCCACTTAAGTATCCATGAAACCATATGCAAATATGTTTACCTATTTCATTCTTAGATGTTACTTTATATCATTTTAATTAGTCTAAAGTGTTTGTTATTATTTATTATTAGATCTAATTTCAATGTATCATTTTAGTTGAAAGTGATTTAAATAATAGAGGAAAGACAACAAAAAGAGAAGCTTCTGACTCTCACAGTCCTGTTGTAGAAAAAAAAGGTAGTTTTAGTTACGGTGGAAATTTTGTTCGGACTTCTCGAAGTGAAGATTTCCTTCAAAAATCCTCAGTAGCTACTGTGAACATTGATATTGAGGATGACATAGCCACATCACTCAATAATTTATTAGACGCAAATAAAGAAAATACTTCATCTGATCGTATTGTTTGGACTTACAATGCTCCTGTAAGTGCAACTGGCTCTAAGTCTGTTACTAGTCCATCCCCAAACAGTGACAGCTCAGAAAATTTACCAAGACATGAAATAAGAGATGAAAGGACTGGGCAGTTCATACAGATTTCTGGTATGAACACTGTAGAGCAGAACTTTAATGCTAATGGTGAAAAACTAGTCAATGATAATATAAAGAACATGATTGCTACATCAAATCGACAGCGGTATGCTCCGCGTAGCATTCAGCCAAAGCAAGATGGTATTACCAATATCATGATTGATGAAAACAAAATTTATGTGAAAGTGCTGCCTGATCAGACTAAATCAAATGAACATGCCATATCTTTGTCAACAAATAATAAAGGACATCTTAATTCCACAAGCAATTCACCAAAAAATTTGAAACATTCAGAAAATGTTGAAGAGTCTCGTAATGATGAGAACTCTAACACCGGTGATGAACATAAACGTTCTTACTCACCGGAAGATGAGTCAGATGTAGAAAGTCTAAGCAGTTTTCATTATAGTCCTAAAGCTATTGATATGCCTTCAGCTTCCAGGCTTGCAAAACGTCTCTTTCACCTAGAAGGTTTTAAAAAATCAGATGTGTCTAGGCATCTTTGTAAAAAGTAAGTAGCACTTCTTTTTATCTATTACTTATCTTACTAGAAAATTAATATTCAGTTATTCTGTATTTACTCACTTAATTTTCTTTCCAGACATTTTAGTATATGAATTAAAAACTTTTGCTTTAGTGATTTTAAGCTTTCTCCCTGGATTCAACAAATGGCCACTTTGTTTGTTCTGCATTTAATAAGTTCATTGTTATAGGCCTTAATCAGAGCCTCCAAATTTTAGCAATGCAGGTGAATGAAACATTTTATTGATAGTGCATGTAGTTTACATTTAGGTAGTAGTATACTAATGTAAGCAGAATTGCAGACAACTTAAGTAATGTGAAAAGAATTGAAGGTAATAACTGTACCTTTAAAAGTTCTTTAAAATGTCCAGTGAAGTACCAAAATAATCTGTATGCCAGCCTAATGGTTAATATGTTTTTCATGGAAGAACTCAGATTAGTGTTTTACTCATAACTTGGTCTCTCCTATTTTTGTGACTGCAACCTATTAGAAGAGGTTTGTTTATTCCTATTAGAAGAGGTCTATTGGAAGTTTGTTTGCATAATGTGTATTTGAAGCATTCTTAGAGGTTTCAGAAGTTCTACTGAAACATCAGCTAAACAAACCCTATGCCATTAGGGTGCCACCACAGCCTGAACAGTCTTTTGTTGAAATGTGAAATCTATTTATTTGTGGAATTTTCTCTGCCTTCCATTCTTTCATTTGCAAGGAATAGTGGGAAATGAAACTTGCCAGAACAGACTACTTATATTCACTCATCAAGTGTCCAGTACCCAAATTGTGAAGCCCAGCTCAGCTATATAGTTTTGTGCATCCACCACAGTTTCTCGAATTAGTTCTTTTTAACCCAAGAGGGTGCAGTTTGTCCAGAAGGGCTATTAATTTCATTGTGGCATTTTGCATTGGTTCACTATAAATGGCATATCACTTTTCAAATTGTTGCTGCCAAATATTAGAGCCCAGCATTATATTTAAAGAAATTAAAATAATGAAGAATTTGCATGAATGTATGCTTGTTTGACACACTGTGAAAAACAGCAGTACCTAGGCACATCAAATTTTTAATAACTTGGTCCTCCAGTCAAATATGAGCATCTAGAAACCCAAATTTGGAATCTGTTTAATTAATTTATTATTATTATTCATTAAACTCCATATAATGAAGGAAACATTCCGCAGTCTTCATGCTGTTGTTTGTTGAGGCTACAATATGAATGTTGTGCTTCTCCAAACAAAAAGTATATCCATAATGTTTTGGCCCATCTGGTAAGCTCTAACTATTAGATTAAAAATTACTTAAATATTAAAAACCTTGCCATTCTAAGGAAGAAAACATTTCTAGAAGGTTTCATAGATATCTATCATTTTGTATGTATACTGGTAGGTTGAAGCTGTAATTTGCATGGGTAGTTTTACTAAATATTCTGCATATAGTCACTTATGCATAATACATAGATTTTTTTTGAATTTAATGTATATAGTAATATTAGTATACATACTTCTCAATCTTTTTTTTTTTTAATCTGCTGAATTTTTCCTCTAGATCCTTTTCTGAGAAATGGTATAAATGTATATTTTTTGTGCTTCATATTTCATAAGTATATTGTATTAAAGGCTGGATGATAATGTAATGTAATAAAATAATTCTTTTTTAGGTTTTTATTTAAGTAATAAATATTATATTCTGCCTGTAACCTGTAAAAGCTAAACAATTAAATTCCAGTTATTTAAATAACTTGTTGTTCTTTTTAGGCTAAGTAAAATTAGGCTTCGTGTTAATACCTATTTTTTACTTCTTAAAATTTTTCTTTGATATAGTAATGCAAAAAGAAAACAAATTTCAGTAAATATATTATATTACAAGAAGCTATGAAATTACTTGAGTGTGTATAATTAATGGATTGACATACAATGTTTGTCAAATTTGTATTGTATAATTATGTAACAATAGTATTCTTCTGAGGCAGAATGAACTGATGTACACTGATATGAGCTATGTGCACAGGCTTGTTTTTCTTTATTTACTACTTTCTTTATTTATCAGTTCTTTGCTCAAGTACAAGATCACAGACTATTTAGCTCATTAGTAACTAAATGGTTAAAAAAAATTGGAAAAATACTGGTAGTTTATTTTGTGTTATATTCCGCTTAGTTAAATATGATTTCATTTTCCCATATATGGCACAAGAGAATTATTTAAATTTAATTTAACTTTACTATTTATTCTTTTGAAACTACTTGTATAATATGTATGCAACTCAGTTTCCTTTTCAGAGTCTTCTGTGAAGTTATCTTTTCTTTTTTTAGGCAGATAGTTGTCATAAGCTTTGCTGTAATCCTATATTAATTCAATTCAGGAACTTAGCCATTACATTGTCAAGCCATGGCAAATGCTTGTATTCTCAAAATAAGCTTAACAAATGTGGTATTTAGATCAGCTTCCTTTTCATATAATCAATTAATTTTCTTATTCATATTATAATTAATGTGCATAGAAAATATCTTGGGAAAATGTAAACATATTTTCTATTGGAAGTGTGCCCCAAAGGCATTTTGAAGTGCTAAAGGACACTGTTGAGTGGGAGCTAAAAGCATTCTCCTATAAATTGTCACTTTGTATACAAATATTCAGTGGTATGCATTGTTATCTGAAAGTGGAGCTCCCCCACATGCCTTTTATCTGTAGAGCTGCAGATAGAACTGGAATAGGTGCTCAAAGTAAGTAAATGGGAATAGTCATTTTTATCTCTTTTTAATAGCTGCTGTGTTTTAATCATAATTCCAGAGATGAAATGCATGTCGGTGAGCTCTGTGTTCACGTAGCTTTACATACCATTAAAATCTGCATGGAGAATAATAATTTGTGCCATTTGAAAGCTTTTATCTTCTGCTTAATAGCCACACTCTACCACCTCAGTGCATCATTTTGGCATGCACATTCCATTATGAAATCTTGTTCAGTCTATTATGTTTCTCTTTATATTTTTGCTAGATAGTTCCCAAGCACCCTGTATATGTTGCTTATAGAAAAGAACAGGGAAGGGTGTGGGGAGGAAATGTACTTTCATTTGGTCTTTCCAGACACTGGAAGAGATTGATTTTTGTAAGTTTAGATATTTGGAATTGTACTATTTTTAATGAGAAATTTTAATTTCTCATCTATAAGGCTAACCATGCCAGCTAAATTGCCATGTTTATCCTGTCTTCCTTTTTACATATTAAGTTACTCAGCCATGAAAGTGGGGATTGCAAAATTCTGAAATAATTAAATGTTTTTACCTATAATTATCATTTCCTTTGATTAATATCACTATGTGGTTAGTGTATGTTTAATGTCAGTACAGTCTTCTGTAGCTGTCATAATGTAGTTGACATGTATAATTTCAGATTCTGTAACTTAGGTTGTAAGTTAAGAAAGTTTCATAAACTATAGCAGTATGTTATCATTTTATGTTTGTGTGCAACTTTTCAGTGTTCGAGTTTGATACGTATTATATATCTTTTTCTTTTCCATTTGCAGACGTTTCTGTAGCTTTTGTTTGTTATCTTTTTCCCCCTTGCCCCCCCCCAAATGGTGGGCCTTTAGCCGACTTCAGTTTGGCCACTCTTAAGGCCAGAAGTGGTGGTCATTTTATTATGGAGGCACCTAATAGGTGGACCACCTTTGCCTTCTATGCAGGGATGGATAGTTATGACCATGCCTTTCCGGGATTTGAATCCAGGTACCGCAGTCGACTCCCCTAACCACTATACCATCTGAGCTGCTTGTTATCTTTAATGATCTGTAATCTACATTATATAGCTTGCCATTATTTTGTTAAATATTTAAAAAAGAAATACAGTAAATTTGATACTTTTCTATATCAGGACTGGATTTAGAAATGTATGTATACGTGCATGTAAGTAATTTCTGTATCGGGTCCCAATAACAGAAAAGCGCAGTAATTTTTATAAGTATCATAAATTTTTCATAATTTAAATAAAAAATGAAAAGAATAACAGGTAATAAAAATGCATTATTTTAGTGAAAATACCCAGAATTCCAATCATGTTATTTCTAATTTATTCAGCATTATGCAATTATTAAATCTTATCGTTTTTATGTTATTTAGAATGTGTAAATTATTTTTTAATAGCTAAGGCTTATATGCATATATTTATTATGTAATGTTAAATTTTTAATTATTAAATGTTTTCTTGGCTATGGTACTCTTAAATCATGTAAAAAAGAATGTGTTTTAAATTTCTGATATTTAATCTTAATAAATTATTAATTAATGAGTATTTTTGCAAATTTCATTCTTTTTCAATTGGCTGCCAGATATATTTGGTATTCCTGAGACATTTTTATCATCCCCTTTTTTAACAGTAATGATTTTAGTAGAGTGGTAGCGGAAGAGTACTTGAAATTCTTTGATTTCCACGGAGAGACATTGGATGTTGCTTTACGGAAGTTCTTAAAGCAGTTTTGCCTTATTGGAGAAACACAGGAAAGAGAACGTGTTTTAGTTCATTTTTCAAAACGATATCTTGATTGCAACCCTGGAGCTTTTAAGTCACAAGGTAAGCATTCTGTTTCTGTTTTCAAGTTAAAAGTATTATGTTACTTGCATTTCTGAATAACATTTTAGTTTCTTCCTTCAGGAAGTGTTTTTAATTTTTGGTCATAAGAATGTTTTATCATAGTAAATCTTAGTTTGCATCTATTGCTTAATTTTTGAGCCACCATTTAACATGAAAAGGCCATTATTTTTCTGTTTCTTTTTCTGTTGATATTTACATCAATTTATAAGTATTTCTTTTTATTAGTTGCATTATTTTTCAGTTTTTAACAAAATATAAAAATTTATTCTTTCTCTTTTTTTGGGGGGGGGGCTGACTTAATTAATTAATGTAAAAGAAATAAAAGTGAAGCTGAATTCTGTATTTTATTTTAGATGCTGTTCACACTCTTACTTGTGCCCTAATGCTCCTAAATACTGACTTGCATGGAGAAGTAAGCTTTAGATACTATAATTGAGTTTCTTTGTATTTTAATAAAAATATTTGTCAGCTCTAATTTTATATCTAATGTAAAGAAGCAAACAAGCACTTGCTCAATTATGAAAATTGTGTTTATAGTTTAATAAGTTAGTTAATTTGCATACAAGTGATTTGCATAATTAAGTTAGACTAATTAATTTGCATACACACATCATTTCTGTTTGGCAGATAAAAAATTCAAAACCATTTTAAGAAGTACATGTATATAAAATTAGGGGGGAAGAGGTTTTTGTGCTTTTATCATGGTATGGATAATATGTTTTTTGGAAAAGGTCATTTTTCATGATTTAATGCATTTTGCACAGCAAGAAATTTAATAAATGTGTATATTTCTTGCATTAATCAGCTATAAATATTTATGACATGGAAATGATTTGCCTGTTTTATGTTTTGCTATAGTTTAAGTACAGACAATATTGAATAGTAATTGTTTTTTACAAATTGGTATATAATATTTAAGAGTAATGAAATGTAGTTATTTTTAATGAAGTCATTAATTCTAAATGTGAAAATATTTCTGAGGTGTAGTAGTGAACAGAGTTATTGTAAAATCTGAGTTCCATAGCTGTGGTTGGTGAAAAATATGTTCCAAAGCATTATATTTTTTGATACTTTCTGATTATCCACATCCCTACAAAAAGTCATCAACTGATTTTGGCAAGAAACATTTGTTTGGGTATTTTTACATCTATTTCAATGATGTATTCAATGCTACTTTTTTAGATTGACTGTAATAAGTGTGTTATGAAGTACAAATTTGGTTTTTTAAATTTTAATATTTCATATTTAATTTATTAATTTATGTGTTTCTTCATATAGTTTATCCTCTATCCCAATTAAACTGAAGCTCTAGACAGTCAAAATTCGTAAATTTTTGCTATAAAACAATTTATCGATGCAAATGCGATGCAATTATTTTTTTCTTAATCTCTTCATTCATGATGTTAAGATTTTAGGAATAATTTAGCTGGATTATCATAACCTTTACAAACTTAAGACTTTTCTTTATATATGTCTTGCCTTGTTTATTAGCTATATTTTTTATATATTTCTCTTATATTTTTTATATATTTTAAAGACATTTCAAATTAAATGAATCCTAAATACAATTTTTTAGTATTATTATTTTAAGAAAACAAGTACTTATGTTTTTAAATAAAAATAGAAAAAGTCTGTAAACATTGTTATTATTACTCTGTTCAGGTTAGTGGTTAGTTGCGTTGAAGTTAGGCTTGCATTTTAATCTTGGAGGAAACATAAATATTTGTAATTGTCTGCGCCTTAGCCATGGGCATATATTGATCTGTCCCCTAATGTGTGCCACACAGTGTGTTCGGATTAAATGACCATTAAGTTCTGCCATTCTGAACAAATGTTTAACTGGCAAATGTCTAGCCTTTCAGAAAAATGTGCATAAAACTGTTCAGTTTATTAATATGAAACTAAAAAATTATGTTAACTAATCTAAATAATATAGAAATGAAAGTATACTAACAAAGTTTCTACATGTGGTTTGTATAGAAATTATGTATGTAATTAATTTTATTTATTTATTTTGTAGAATGTCGGAAGGCGAATGACATGTGCTGAGTTTATTGAGAATTTAGCAGAATTAAATGAAGGAGAAAATTTCTCTAAAGAAGTTCTGAAAGCACTGTATCATTCCATTAAAACAGCTGCTTTAGAGTGGGCAGTGTAAGAAAATATTTCTTTTTATTTTGAATTGAATAATTCATATTACTTATTAATAAAAGTTAATTTAGGGGAATTTCTCACATATTAAATTGTATTTCAAATTTTATCCTTTGTTTCAAAAGGTTTAAATGTGATAATATTTTAATGAAATAATATTTTATAAAACTTTTAAATTATCCTTGACTAATTATAATTTTATTTTTATCTTTGTGTTAGGGCCAATCTCTAGTAATGAATGTTCACAGGTATTATTCCTGAATGATATATAAATTTAGAAAAGAAAAAAAATATAATCTTATGTTTTTTTAATGATTTCTTTCTTTTCTCTTTTTTTTTTTTTTCTTAAATGGATAAAACATTAATCAAAAGATGTGATAAGGATGCCTTATTTTGCTTAAAAAAATCAGTATAATTTTCTTGAACTCTTTTTATAACTTTTGATTGAGGGCTTGCAGTTGTCTTGTAGTGGACTATTAATTAATCATGCTATCTTCATTGTGTTCCTTTACATTATGCTGTATTTCTTATCTCAGTTATTAAATATTTTTAGTATGTAAGAAACATTCGTTAAATTCCGCAGGGTCTCTTTTTAATTTAGAAGGAAATTACAACCTGTAAATTTCTGTTATGGCAGTTGATGTGTTTAAGCATTTTGTTGAATGTTTATCAATTTAAAGCTACATATTGCAAACTACAATAGGAGCTTAAATGTTATTTTTCTATAAAATCCAAGGAAAGTATTCAAATAAAAAGATAATTTTTTATAAAAAATTTACTTTTCTAAATTAAATAAAAAAATCAGTGAATATGTTAATGAAATGGAAGATTTGATTGTTTGGCAATGAAGATGCATACCAGACGAATGGAATTACTAGGATACAGCAGTTATTAATTAAGTTCCTATTTCATCCTTCTCTTGCCTTTTTAAGCCTTATCAATTATTGAGTGATTACTGGCAGTTATTTCATCTTGGATTTGAATTTGTGAGCAGCCTGTTCCACAGGGTTTTTGTGGATTTTTCCATCTATAATATGGATTCCTGTCAGATTCCCTAAAGAAGTCATCCCTACCCATAGGCAAATAGCCTGATGTGCATTGTCATCATCGGCTAACCAATAAACCTCTGTATTTTATAGTTTTACACTGCAAAAGACAATAGTAAGTTTCATTTCTTTGAAATTTATAGTTATAAATTTTTTATAACAATTTTCGCTTGATGCAAAAATAATCTTTTATATAAAACAGGGCTTTATTTGTCTGTACACATATCTTCATAGACATATTCAGCTGGTAAATTGCAAGTAGTGTGTTCTGAAAATTGCTTCTAAAATAAAATAAATATAACAGTTCCCTGGTCCGTATGTAACATATTGCAAGGCTTACCACAAATATGCAAAACTATGAATAATTATTATTGCTGTATAAAGCAAGATATTCCTGTAACATACATGATTAAATTTTGGAAAAGATTGGGAATTAGGTATGAATCAAGAACATACTGAGGATGGAATGGAGAGTAGAAAAAATCAAGCAAGCAGTGGGATAAGGAACTGTTAGAAAGATAGATTGAAGTGCAAAAAGAATGGAACAAGCAATGGGTGTAGAAGAATCAATTAAATCAAACATTAAGTCTCTGGATTGATTTTTTTTCACCTGTTATTCTGAAATCTTCTTTCTGCATAAAATTAACATTAAATTGGGAAATGATAAAATTTAAAATCCCTTTTAATAGAGGATAAAAGACTCCTTTTTTTTTTTTTTTTTTCCCCCCACTCCCTAAAATGGAAATCAAAATTTCCTAGCATACAAGAGAGCTTTGTGGGTGAACTCTAAAGAGCTAGTACTCTTTTTTTCATGAATTAGATATTTGCTCACTCAGAGATAAAAAAGTAATCAGCCTTTTTAATCATCAGTTCATAAATTCATTGCACATATCACGGTAAGGAATTCTTACGTTTTCATTTAATCCACAAAAAGATGAGAAGAAATATAATGTTTTATAGCCTATTATATTATTTCAAGGGAGGGAGAAATAAGCATTATTCATTTTCTTAATATTAATAGCACATTAGCAGTTTCTAAACACTTTTCACATAACTGATGTTTTGGGCCCCAATTGTGAGCAAAACTATATTATTAATAATGGTATAATATTTTATTAATGTGAATTTCACATGTCTGATTTTAATTATATGTATATTAACACAGAAAGCGGTTTTTCATGGGATTGAAACTTATATTAACGAGCAAAAATTAATATAATATTTGACCATCTTAATAGCCAAACAGTCTTTTTTAATTCTTCGCTCTTTTTCTTTTTTTAAATTTCACGCATTGTCTGCAAGAAAATAATGTTAATCTCAGTATTGCTGTTGCCACACAGATACTATATATATTTGAAGAACTGCAATTTCCACATTAATTAGAATAAGGTGAATGTTAGAAGCAGGAGTGGAAGGTAGTTCAAAAACAGAAGTATGGGTTTGAAAATCAAGATAAGTTAAATACTGTCTGCCCACTAATAGTTGAGATTTCCTGCCAGCATTTTGGGATATGAGCTTAGAGTTTAAAGAATTCCCTGTGACATGAGAATTTTATATAAAGCATTTTCAAAATTAGTTTTATTCACCCCAGATAACTATGTTAGAAGACTATATTGGATGTGTCTCTCATCTACTTGTCTTTTGAAACTTACACTATCCAAAACTTGAGGCAGTTTTTTCCCATTTCTGTGCCATTCTGAACCAAAGGTATTGGAATACAACTCTCGTGGCTCCAAGGCAGGAATTTTTTAGTTCTGATTATTTCCTTTGAGATGATGAAGGTAGTGTCCCCATATTCTTTATTTGATAAATATTGTTCATATATTTTTAATCTGTTAAAACTGTGTGTCTGTCTAATGCCATGTAAATGAGGAAAATGTATTTTTTAATGAATTAAGCTATGAACATAATAATTTACTTTACTTTTCCAAAATTTTCTAAAATTATAACAATTATCTGCAAGGGACGATAAAAGAAGAATGAACTTAATCTTATATAAATTGCAACAAAATCAAATTTGTTTGCAGCATTATTTCAACTTTCTTACATATCAACTTGAAATCATTTTGAAAATATTTTATTATCTGCAACTGTAATAAATGCATATTTATGTTTTATTAGTTTTTACTTATGTCTTCTGTTTACAGTTTATGGTATTAGTTTCTTTAATTTCGCTTACGTTAACAAAATTTCTCTTCATGTTTTTGGTGCAATTTACTGTGAGTATATATGAACATTGTTGTAAGATTTATAGTCTAAATTTCTGTATAGGTTAAGTAAGTTTAAAATTATGTCTCTTAAATTTTTAATTAATTTGATTTTTATATGATTTTCTTATATCAATTCACACTTTCCTATATTAATTATGCTAAATGAGTATTTTTTCCTATATAAACAGTAAGAATTTGTTTTTTTTTTTATGAAGTAAAATATAATTATTTCAGTTTAAAAAAAAATGTATAAATTTTCAGATTGATCTTGACGTTTATAAGCTGTATAATGTTTTTACAATCAACATAAGTAAATACTATTAACTGCATGCATTAGGTTTTTAATTTTTCTCAAAATTATTGTAAATTATCTTAAATATATGTATGAACTGGTAAGTACTAATAAATTGCTACAAGTGAAGAAAAACTTCCTTCAACAAGTAAATTCTAATTAGATATATTTATTATATCCATTATTATTTAATTTCATGTTCTAATTTAACTTCTTCTTATGTAGGGATGATGAAGAAGAAGTATTAACAACTGATGACCATACACCTAATACAGATCAAAGACAAAGTTTTATTGGGCATAACCCATTTCTTGAGGTGAGTAGACTATCTGAAAATGTTAAGTAAAATGTATTATTTTCTTTCATCTGTCTGTATAAATGTGAGTGTAGTTTCTGTTAAAAGTTATGTTTGTGAGGATTACTTTTAATTAGTCAAAATAACTATATATTTATCCATTTCTCAAGTTAATATGTGGATGAAGTATAAAAATCCATGTGCCTAATTTAATATTATAGGAAAACTTGAATTAAACTGCCAAAATAAAAATACTTCTATATATGGTTTAAAATTTATGTATTAAATTATCCTGCAAGATATCCTGTAATTAATATTTGGTTTTTCTCTGTGGCTTTGTTGAGTAATATAATTGTTATTGTTTTAAATAGGATTATCAATGGATGATTACAAAAAGTATTGGACAGTGATATTTTATAGAGTTTAATTTTCCACAACAAAATAGGCTAACTTCATGTGTGTTTAGTGGTTTTTATGTATGGCACAGTTATGCTCAAAATATCTCACAGAAACAGATAATCTTGTGTTGCTTTGCTGTAACTAAACAACTACTACTTGTGTGTTTTCATAAATAGCAATCAATTTTTGAGTCAAAAATAGATTTAATTCAGCTAGGTGTTAAATAAATGTTGCATCTTTTATCTGCATGCAGAGGTCAAAGCACAAAGGCCTTCGCTTGCAAATAAAACATCCATGACTTCTTGACTGAAATCAACCTAAAATTTGGGCGGAGTTATACGAAGTACCGTATCATTTTAAGATATTTTGAAACATTTTGGACAGCTTTGTTTGTGTAAAAAAAAAAGAAGTATATTAGGAGAAGTGGAAAACAGTGAAATGAATGTATATTTAAAAAGAAAGGAGAAACAACAAAAGTTTGAAAGGAGCAATTTTTTTAAAGGGAAATGTCAATTATATAACTTTGTAGGGCACTTTTTATCTCTGGCTATCAAGGGGATCATAAAATTTATTGCCTGCTTTCTTAAAATGTATGAAATTTCTTAAAATGTATGAATGTAAATGTAATGTAATGTATAATTTATGTATTAAAATGTATGAATGTATAAATTCTTAAATGTATGAAATTTAATGTTTACTAAATTTACTCCGTTCTGAGGGAAAACAATGACTGTGTATTTCTATATATGTTATGTAGTAGTAATTTTTATTTAAATAATAAAACTGGTTCATTCAGTGTTACTTTTTTTGATTGCATTATACAGGTGCCAAATCCTAACTTTGCCACTGAATACAAAAAGGGCTATGTAATGAGGAAGTGCTGTGTTGATCCAAATGGAAAGAAAAGTATGCTATTTACTTTTGATATTACACAACTGTAATGGTATTTGGGATTTTTTATGCAAAAAATAAATTAAGTTTTTTTTTTAATTAAAAAAAATTTAAAACATATCTTTTGATTAAAATCAATATATTCTTAAAAGAATGTAACTACTACTTACCTTTTATCTGTTATTAAATCTAATTTTGCTACACATAATTGAATATAATATCATATGGATTGCATTAATTTTACATTTTTGCATAATTTAGCATTTTCAAATCTCCATCCCAGTTGCCTTTTTCTCATTTTTTTTTTTAAAGTGAAAGTTAAGTAGATGTTAATGTAGTGTTAAGTGTGCATTTTTGCTTAAAACTCTGTACATGTTTGTATGTAACTGGATGGATAGGATATGCGTAAAAAATCTGTGAATGTGAAAGTTTCTTAATTTTTCATGATTCTTAAATGGTAATAAAATGGACAAAATTTGGCTATATAGTCATACTAACATTAATAAATCACTGTACATTTTCAAAAAGTGTCTTGCATCAAATTCTGAAAAATGTGCATGTGGTTTTTAAATAAATATTACCAGTCTAAAGATAAATTTTGCGTTATTTTAAAGTTTATTTGCATCTTTACATTTATTATTCTTTAGTAATATGTATGCTATTGGACAAATATTAATGTACATATTTTTTAATCTCAAAATTCTTTCAAGACTAAGAATTTTCTTTTAGATGTTTTATTGTTTTAATCTGGATGAATTATTAGGGCATTCTCTAAGATCTATGCCTAAAATGAGCTAAAATATTTTTCAATTTGACATTGGATTCTACTGCTGCACCATATGGAAAAAAATTATATGTAAATTTTTTAAAGCATTTAGAAATGTCTCAAAGATTATACTTTGATTGAAAAATTTCATTGATCTGTGCATGATAATTCTTCTGAAGTTGGTTACTCTTTCTCCTAAAAATGTTGCAGAAAATTTTATTTCTTGAGTATGATTGATCAGGTTACCAAAATAGTAGCTATTTAAGTTGTAGAGCTGGCAAGAAAGACTGTTATATATTTTTTGCATTAAGAAACATTAATTGTAATATTTGTTTAATCAGTTATCTACTTATATTGGAGTTCCAGTATATGTTATTCAATGATTCTAAATATCATTTGGTATTAAGAAATCTTTGTGCTTCTTGTAAAACATAACAAAGTGATGATCCTAATTTGGAAATTAAACTCTTGCTGGTATGTTTGTATGAATATATAGCTAGCAGGAGGAAAATGTTATATTTCCTAAAGTCATTTATGTTTTTACACCCAATTATTTGATAGTAGACCATTTGAGTAAAATTTTGGCTCTGATATGATAAACATAGTATTGTAATGTGAAGGATGCTTATGATTTAGCTTGAAGAATTGTAAGTTCTTAATTGAACACGCATAAAACTGCTATTGTGAAACATTGCATTAAGCAGAATTCCCTCTTACCTGTAAAATCAGGGAAATGAAAAAGTAATTATGAAACATATAACCTTTGTCTCAAAATGTCAGGGTTACAATTTGTAAAAAATTATTAAGGAGGCTTTAAAAAAGGTATATATGAGTCTATTAAAATAAAAAAAAAAGTTCATCTTTTAATACAGTGCTGGCCATTAAAATTGCGACACCATGAAGGAAAGCAAGTACAAAAAAGATATTTATTGCACGTAAGCAGTATGGCAAGAGGACAAAATGATTAAATTTGTAAAAATTTTGAAGGTTTACAGGGGTGTGAAATTAATAAAAACAGCTGTCACCCCTGGCATCTAAAATGACCCTTTAGGACACAACCGCTGGTCATAAGATGTAAAAAATCTGTGTTCAAATTACCGTCGATTCAAACTAGAAATGTGCATGCCATATATCCAATGGCTGCTCAAACTATCACACCAGGTGAAGGGCCCCCTATGCCAATATTGAATTCAAGCAAGTGATGTGAGGTCTCTTCGGACACTCCAGACACGTAAACGCTATCAGAATACTGCATGTAGAACCGGGACTTGTTTGAAAAGGTGACATTGTGCCATTCCTGTACCCAGCTTTGTTATTTGCCACACCAGAGTCACTGTCTCTTCCTATGCTGTATTGTTAAGAGAAGCTGAAGTAATGGTCAGTTCATGCTTCTGCAAACGTCAATGCACTTTACGAGCTGGCCCATTTCCTGACTAATGGTTCATGATGTGGTCATGCAGTTTTGCAGAGCTGACTTCATAACATGCCTGTCCTTTCTGGCATTAGTCATGGGAGGGTGTTGAAATGATCCTGTATGCCATTCGGTATGACCCTCAGCAATCCATTAATTCCATATTCGCATGACAGTGCTTGGATGTCGACCAGTGCAACTGGCAATATCACAGAACGATAATCTACACTTTTGATACATGGCAACTTTCATGCCTCTATTGAATTTCAAAACTTGCTGGTAAGCATTTACTCTTCTTATTCGAGGTATTGAGAAATCCACTAGGTAACTTTTCTTTTATGCAGTGCTTCAGATGTTGTTCCTCCTTTCTGCATCATCTAAATGTGCTGAAATACTAATCATTTGCATATCCCAACTTCTTCTTTCTGTCATGTGATTTTGATGTTATTCAGATCATTCCTTCCTGCTTTTGCAATTTTAATAGTATAAACCACCAAACAAAATTTGCCTTTCTTAAAAATAAAGCAAAACCCACTGTGGTAATTGATAAAAAAATGCCATTTTTTAAAACTTAAGAGCAATTATTTGGAGAAGAAAAGCCCACAATAAAGTGTGTATTCTAGAACTCATCATATTATTATATGTTACAACAAATAACTATTTCAAACGCTTTTCAATTCCATGTAAATTTTAGTTCATATTAAAACACCGCAGGAATGATAATTATTATGAATGATTTACTTTCATAAATTTCTTTTATGGAATGAATAATTTTATCTCAATTTGAAATTTCTTTTTAAGAACCTTATTTTTCTTTAATTTATCTTTTTACTGCTTTTTCTGAACGATTTAATACATGTTTTCTGTATGCATTTTATTCATTTGCTTCACAATAATGAATGAATAAATTAAATTTTTATAACATTTAATTCTTTCATTGCATTTTGTAGTAGTGAAGTTCTTCAGTAACTTAAAATGAATTTGTGTAAAAGTTCATTCTACTTTATCAAGGAAATTCTTTAGTTTAGTAGGGAAAAATTAGAATTAAGATTTAAATTTCCAGGGGAATTCTGCTACAAAAATTTTATGTCCCATTCATTGGTTGTTATGAAAGAAATCCATATTACATTCTTAAACTCTTTTAAATATAACATAAATAAATGTAAATAAATAAATAAATAAATGTTTCATAAATGCAAATACCAAAGATGCTGTTCAAAATGGTCATCAGCTGTTTGTTATCAAATCTGTGGCATCTTGCAGCTTTTATGCCTCTGTATCCATATTCTGTTGTAGTTTGTTATAGATAGCCTGCTTAAAAAAAAAAAAAAAATCTGTAAGATTTCAGATTTTAAATTACATCCAAAGGGGTGTTTTTCAAGCATTTTGTGTGTTACCGTATTTATTAAATATCGTATTCTACATACTCAAACTATAAAATTCATTTCAATGGCAATATCGCAAATTACTTTTAAAATGAGCATGTCTTTAGAATTTCCGTTACAGAGTCTTGCATGCTGGAAATAAAAAATGTTTTTTTTTCGTACAGTGTTGCAATTGCTCACTTTGAAATCATTTATTTTTTTAAACAAAAATTCATTGAATTGTTACAAAATATAAAATCAATAATAAAACAAATTCCAAATTCAAATTAGGGGCTTCCACATGCCCATATTCTATGGAAGATTACATTATTCAAATTTGATGGCTCTAGTTACCGTTGTTTTATCACAGTGTGAGAAACATACATACATTTTATACAGATTCTTCATTATTTAATTTCTTTAAATATAAAACAGGGCAATAATATATGGGGACAACAATTTGAAAAGTGATACAGCCTTTTAAAGTTTTCGGCGCAAAATGCCAAAATGAAATTAATAGTCCCTTCAGGGCAAATTGTCCCTTTGGACTAAAAAAAAAAAACGTGCAACAATCATAACACTATTGAAAATTTATAGGAGTTGGAATATGGTAGTTAGGAAATCTATTGGAAGTCAACAAAATTTGTATTTTAACTCTAAAACTCTCTTCTCTATTATTTTTATATCATATTGGTGAAAATTTGTTAATGCAAAAATCCTGATTTTATGCCAAAATTCTGTAACATATAAGTGCTGATATTAAGTTTGTGTTGCTTGATTACTGATGTTATATTTAAAGTTCTATAATAAGTGTTGCTGTTATATTTGAATTCATTTTTTTAAGTACAGTACAAAGTCTGTAATCTGGACGTCCATTATCCGGAATGATCTATAATCTGGACCTCAAAGCCACAAACTTTTTTTTGTATGCTTTACGCATGCCCGTTTAATGCTATGCATGTGTGTTTAATGTTTATGCATGCCCGTTTATCACAAAAAAACAAAGTAACTTAAACAACTTACATTAAAAGAAATGTTTAATAAAGTAAACCAATAAATATTAAGCTTTTTTTTGTAAATTTTGAGACCCTTTATATCATAATTGCTCTTTATTTCATAAATTATGGTTTCATATTTTTAATTGTATAATTTCTGCATGCCATCTTACCAGATTTAAATTGATGGTTTATAATCCGGAATTGCCGAGTCCTGACGAGTCCGGATTACAGACTTTGTGCTGTATTGTTGTTGTATGAATTCATTTTAATACTTTTTTTAATAAATTGCTTCATTTTTGTAATTTAGCTCCGATTGGAAAGCGTGGCTGGAAAATGTTTTATGCCGATTTGCGAGATTTGGTTTTATATCTTCACAAAGTAAGAATTCATTTATGCTTTTGATGAGATTATTGATCAATATGATTATTTCTTAGAAATAAGAAATCAAAGTGTTAGAATTTGGTATTACTCTTGCAATGATTAAGGTTGTCTAAATAATAATTGAAAAAAACTATACTTTAAAAATGTGCACAGTATTTAAATTTTAGGTTATCATTTATGTCTCTAAAAACCCAATTTTGCAATTCAGTGAATTAATATGCATTTGTAGGTTATCCTGTATGTGTGGAGAATGAAAATTCATTTTCTGGCAGATATAGTTTAACATGTATTTTTAGTTCACATAAATAATTAAATTTGATAAATATGATATTAATTAGAATAGAAATGATATGAAAATGTAAGCCATTTTCTGTCAAAGTTTCTATGCATATCTTTGAATAACCCCTTGAGCGGTGCAGATTTTTGGATCTGTCATGAAGACCTGTATTTAAACAGCGTTTATTGCCTAAATTTGCAATTTAGTCTCTATTTTCATAAACTTACACTCACTAAGATCACATTTACAGTATTATAAAGAAAATAAAACAGTAAAATATCTTAAATTATAAGCTAATATATGCCAAGTGACAAAAAAGCTTGTGCCCAGATAAATCCAGTCATGGTGTTCAGAGGGCTAATATTGTGTGCTGTGTAATTTAAGAATAATAATGTCATGAACAATGTTTGATGTTAAAATAAAATTGAGACTATTCTATATATCAAATATAAATTTTTATTGCATAGCTTAGAAAACTTAAAATTATGTGGTTACGTTACAGTTCATGTAGATAACATAATATTTCCCCACTTCATTCATTCTGTACAAATTCTGTTGTAATCGTAAGCACTTTCTAAAATAGTCACAGCAGATAGGGAGAATATAGGCAAGTAAACAAGTCATTTTACTATTTTATGCATTACCCAGGTTTGGTTGATTCTCTATTTTTGAACTGAAGTTTATTTTCATTTACTCAAGTTGGAATATGATTCAAGTTTTATTACTAATGATCTCACTTGTGTATAATTTTGAAATAAATAATATTACTCATACTGCTTTCAATTTAGTCTCTATTTTCAGTAATTTCAGTAATTTACAGTAATTTACAGCATTTACAGAGATATGTAGGTGGTTTTAAACTATGTGAAGACTATCTGAAAATATTGTTGATTTCTCTCTCATAACAAAAGAATTCTCTTAAAATAGTTTCTATAAATCCCATAGATACAAAAAAATTGTTGCTTGAAATGCTCGCTTTTTTTAATGAACTCTTTAGATTTACAAATGAATCTTGTATAACATGAGAGCATTATATTTTCAACATCAGATTAATTTTTGTTTATTTTTAAACTATTTTCTTTAAGTTCAGTGTGCAAAAATGAGAGTGACATAGGTCTTCACATGTATCACTGCATAGCATTATTCCAAACTGTTTCTAAGCATGCCATAACATTTTTTAGATTTAAGACTATTGGAAATGTGAAACATTGACTAAGAAAGGAATCTAAAGGATGCTAGGAATTTTTATTCAGAAATGAGTTCCAAACACAAGAAGACATAACTGATACTTGATCACTTGCGCTAAAAAGACATACCACACACGTCAAGATGCTTTTGTCTCAAACCACGAGCGACATGAACACTACGTCGATAGGCATTTATCGCAAAAATGAAAATAACGGGGTGCACACGTCGCCTAAGAACAAGATTGTTTATGTCTCGAGTTACAGCTTTGGATTGCATTCACAGACGCGGAGCGGCGTAAATGAGACAGCGGTAGCTTGTTATATTGTAGTGCACTGCACCACAACCGTGAAGTTTAGTCGTAGCGCAAGAGGTTAACAAGCAGCAGTCATGAAACTAGTCCTCAGTTTCCAAAAACATCCAATAGGAGTTCGATTGGATTTAGCAGTTGAATACTGTGATCCGTGGGAGGTCACGCAGCCAGTCCATGCAGTAAATATTTTTACTTTCCAAAGAGCTTAGCAGCAGTTCCTGTACAAAGATGTGTAATGTCGTATATAACTCACAAAAAGAAAGTTAAGGCCAACAGCACCTCAGGAATTCACTAAAGTAAGAAAGAATGCATTAAAGTAAGGAAAAGAAGCATTTCTACAAAAATCATTAAACTGAGGATAAGATTGCCCTTAGAAACAAAGTTTATTCTAAAAATGACACACTTTTAAATTCTATTTTAATATTAATTTGAATTTTCAGTTTTGACTTTTGCATTCATTTTTTCCTCCAGTTTCGAGTAGCTTTAATGCTCTTAATATGCTTTGAATTACTTATACATCATTATTAAATTTGTGCTTTGAATTAAATCGATATCCAGAACTTTAAGTACATTTCATCTCAGAATCAAAGGATATTCTACTAATCAAAAGATACTGTCACTTACTAAAAAATAATTAAAAACAATTTATACAAAAGCATTATTTAACATATGTTTGCCAGTTTATTAATCTCAAAATTTTGCACTTAAATGCATTTATGGAAATTTAGAAATTATAAAAAAAATTATATCCCCTGTTTACAACAAATTATTCTTTTATATGGTATACAGTCACCTTTAACAGAAATGTGAACCGTAGATCTTGATTTTATAGAATTTACAGCTTTTCATCAAGTCTTGTAGATCTGCACATCACGTTTCTGAAAATGCACTTTTCAGATCTCTGAAGGTCTGAGAAGACATTTGATGCATTGCAAATTGGCTGCCTGAATCATCCTATACATACTGAATTGGGTTCAAGGTCTGGTGTGTAACTGCCGATTCCATTCAAGAGATATCTTTCAGATATTTTGACATCAGAAATGCTTGGTTGACAAGCACTATCATCCATTATCAAGAAATATGTGCCAACAGTGCTGCCCAGACAATATAGTGATTAAGGGAGAGCCTATTGCGGTACTGAAGGGCAGGTCCCCCCCAGAGTGCTCTGCATCAAAATTGGGTTCAGAACTGAGCTAAATCAAACTCTCATTTGAATGGTGCTCAAGGCTGTTGCCAACGGCAGGAATAATCAAGCGCTCCTTGCCATGAGGAATTTCATGGGCTTGGGCTGATTATGTCAGACAAGGGAGCATAAGCAACAACAACAACAGAGCAAGAGTTTGAATCCTGGAGAAGGCATTGATGTTTGTAAATGTAATAGTGTCTTTGCAACATGGAGGCACTCTAAATACATGGCGAGCCAAAAGCCTTCTTATGTGGGTCATGTGGAGAGAGGGGTGAGAGACCCCCGACCCCCCGCCAGGGTGCTCTCCCACAAAATAAGTTGGAAAATAGAAGTCCAATGTCCTTGAGGCTCTGGCAAGCATTCTTCCATGAAATTACATAGACAACTACAGCATGTGCCAACAGTAATTCAGAAAGCCTCATATGACCTCCAAGACTTTGACCGTATATTTCTTACTTGCTACAGAACCTCCATCAAAAATACACAGATCAGTGTAGCCATTTTTAATGATTAGTCCCCCCAAACCAGGAAACTGCTTTTGTGGAAATAGGATCTTTCATTAATAACAGAAGGGCAAGTCATGTGTTCCATGCTCCCTCCAGAACAAAACTCACCTAAAATCAAAGTAAAACTATATCTTGACTCATCTGTAAAGAGTACATGGTCACATTCTGGGTTCTCTAGAACAAGATGATGACAACATGTTAAAGGGACCAGTCTGGACCAGTCCGGAAGTTGAAGTGAGTAGGACACAAGCCATTGATTTTTTTTCTTATGGCATTCAACCTTGTGAAGTTTTCATGCAGTTATAGAACGTCCAGTTCAAGCTCTGGCGGGAGCCAGAAGGTCTAAAACTAACTTTCTTGTACTCGCTTCATGGTTTCTTCTAACTGAGAACTCAGGCCCAATGATATGGCAAACAGCATTGCTAGCACTATACCGATCAGAGTGGAGTCTTTGGATTTAGTTGGTTCTCATAGTTGCCTTTTACCAAGCTGTCTGCTAACTCATTCATTGCTTAAAGTGTGGTTCCAAGTTGTTGATGAAAGGATATTTAGATCTTGGGCAAATTTCATTTATATTCCCTCCCTTGAATCCACCAGTCAACCATCACTTTTGCCCCTTGCTTAAATGGTGCCTTTGAATCACAGCTGATGAATATTTGTTACTCCGTGAAAGTGCATTAAATAATTCTACACAGGTGAAGTCCAAACATATATGTCCATTGCATAACCCATTGTCAGTCAACTAATTTGCATATTTCCTGCACTAACCTATGTGCCGAAGTCTAGTTTTGTTTTCAGTTGCAGATAATTAATATAAATAATTACACCATTGGGCACTTGTTGAAAACTTAAGTTATTGAATTTATTTTTACAAATCATTCATTAATTTTGATGCACAGTCTAGTACAATAAAGTAGTTAATCATTTTATATCTACTTGATGTTTAGCAATGAATATTTATTGTGATAGTCACTCATTCTTTTAATTGTATATATTTTTCAGGATGAAAATGGATTTAGAAAGAACCAGTTGTATGATAGTCTTCATAATTCTATTCGCATTCATCATGCATTAGCAACCAGAGCCACTGACTATACTAAAAAACAGCATGTGTTCCGACTCCAGACTGCAGATCAAGCTGTATATCTCTTTCAAACAAGGTACCATAAGGATTCTAACCAAGAGTACGTTTTTTTAATGATGAGCAATGAAGTAATGGTGGAGGTGGTGAAGTAACTTGAGAGTATTTTCCAAATATTATACAGCAAATCATAGCTTTTTGTTTTGTTTGGTTCTGTACTTTATTAATGTAATTACCATTCTAATTAGTATAAATATTAAGATACACCTATTGAGTTCATATTATCAAATTATGCAGAGATTCTTGTTTTGTTTTTCTAATTAAGGGTTATTATATTTCTATAATTTCATAATTTCACTTTGTTTTATTTTTATTTAAATCAATAAAATAATCTTTTAATAGATGTGTTCCCCCTTTTTTTCTCTTATAAAACAAAATTCTTTAAATAAAAATTTGAATGTTGATAGCACATAGACAAAGAATGACATGTTGAGTAAAACTGGTGCTAAGTTTAGTGTTATTATTGTGGGTTTTCTTAGTGTCCATTAGATAGTGAAAGTTAGAAATAAAAATAATTGCAACATTGTAGACCTGTATGTCTGTAGCAAATTATTGACTTGACTAAAACTTGTTTTGACTGGGTAAGAATAATTGATGTTGATTTAGTAACAAGTTTAATTTTGGGATATTTCACTTCCAAAACTTAGCATACCCATGTGTTTTGAATAAGACTTGTGCTTGAGCATCTTTATTCAATGAAATCAATTCATCCAGCATAATAGTTTTAATAAATTTTTGCATATTTATTTATTTTATGTGATTTCTTTCTTACTGTATTAAGTTAATATCAATAATTAATTATCAACATATTTAACTCTTGAGTCCTTGATTATCATTAATCTCCTTTAAAACTGCATTAATCCCCAGACAGTCAATACCATCCCTGTTCAGGATCTCTGAGCTGAATGATTAAATCCATACTGTGTGCACAGAGCATAAGTTTAAACAACCAAGTTAAATTCAGACACTGTATCTTGCAGAAAAGTTCTGTGAAACTGAAGTATCTGGCACTTACAGTTTTTATGAAAGTATATTTTTAATACCCACAGTATTCATGTATGGATCTGATGGATCTGTGTCAATCTGTACACTGCTTGGCAGCATTCCTACTTGTTCCCACTAAATACATAGGTAGTCATCATTCAGCTTGTATCTTTTATTGGAACATCTCGATGGGAAAACATACTTTATTTTCCTTTAACAGTTCTTGCTGAGTTGATTGTCCATTAAAGTTTGTCTATTAGTTTTGAAAAACTCTGTGTTTATTATATTATGGAAACATTTATGGGCCATATGTGTCCTTGAATTGGTGTGGTATTAAATTCTGATATTTAGAAAAACATCTCCTTATTACATACATTTTTTAGTATAATGATTAATGCAAATCTAATGTTAACACATTTTGTCATCCTTAATTTGGAAGCAAATTTATTAATTGGGTAGCAAAAATATAAGGAGTAACTTTATTTCATCATAAATAAATATGTGAATGAAAATAAATAAAATATGTGTGTCTAATTGCAGTATTAAAAACAGTATTATTCAATATTATGCAAATGGTAAAATTACTGTCAGTTTTAAGTTTAAATGATTATGTTTTTGACATATAATTAAATTTTTGTGAAAGAAATAATACCATAGTACCTCTTGTTTTTATTTATATTGACTGCATCTATGTATTTTCGGATTATCTCAAAAAAGTGTATGAAATTGTTTGCTTATTTGAAAATTTACTTTCTTGATTCAGAAATGTAGTTAACGCCTTTCCAAACAAATATGTTTTATTAAATTATCTCATTCAAAACATTTAATATAAAACTTCTTTCTGAGAATCACATTTATAATTATTTGAGTATAAATTTTATGTAAATAACACTTTATTTAAAATCCATTTTGAAGTTATTAATGCATATTCAATTTTAAGTGTGTAAAAATTTATATAGCTAAATAACTAAGTTTTGTTGTGTGCTGTTTTTAATATCTTGCCAAAATATATGCTAATCAAGATTTTAAAGTTTTTTATTGAGATAATCCTTTTTATAAACAAATTAGAGTAATAAAAAATACCTGTTTTATTACTGAAAGGAATTTTTAATCCATATTTTTATTTTCCTTGTGCATTTTTCTTTTAAATAAAATAACATATAAACCTATGAAAATACATTGTTAGATATTTGATGAAACTGCCAAATTAATGATTTTTTATAAATTAAATTAAAATATTTATTGAACGAAGTATCATGTTCAACATAAGTTGATAAGTATAAATTGTCAGCATCAATTTTAAACAAAGTTTAAAATTTATTTAAATTAAAAAACATTCTGTCCCATTGATTTTGATTTGACTTCTGACTTGAAATCAGTTAGTCATTATTTTAAGTATTCCCCCCTTTATTATTTCTCTTTTAATATTAGTGAAGTGCTTCAACTCTTTGTGTCGTTCAGACTATTTCTTTATTAAAAAGAAATGGAAAACTCTGAATAAAGTACAGAATAATTATGAACATTTTATCTTGGAAGAAATGTATTTATTATGTTTGCACATTTTTGCTCATGCTCTTTCATTCGCTATCATTTAATATTGCAATATATTATGATGATTAAAAATATAGTTATAAAATTAGTTAAAAACATTCATGTTTTTGCAATGTGGATCAAACAATTGTATTCTTATAATGTATTTTAAGAACTGGAAAGGCTATAAGGCATCATTTGCTTACTTAACATTTTTGGGTATTTATTTTTTTGTGGTTTAAATTCATGCTTTGTATTTAAATACTCTGATATTTGTATGTGTGATAAATATTAAATTATTACAGTGATTCAAAGGAGCTGCAAAGTTGGATTGATACCATAAATTATGTTGCTGCATGCCTTTCCGCCCCTTCCCTTTCAGGAGCAGTGGGTTCTTCACAAAAGAAATTTCAGAGGCCATTGTTACCTGTTGCGCCTACAAAGTTGAATTTTGTAAGTTTGTCTATAAAACAGTATTGAAAGAGTTTGAGTCAGTTGTGCAGAAAAGAGGTTTACAATATATTTTATTGTTCTTGTAAATGGATTTAAATTTACGTTAATGAGATAACTTTAAGGAAAGTTTCAATTCTTAAATAGTTTTAAAAATAAGAGTACTTAAAAAAGAAGAAGTTTTTAAAAGATTTTCGAAGTTTTGTGTCATTTACAAAATCAATGACTAGATGCTTCAAGAAAAAATAAATGCAACTCGTATAAATCTTACATCTTGCTCAGATTTTGTTTCTACAGAAATCTTATCTTGTGGTATACAGAACTCTATGTAGGAGTTACATCAGTGATTTTAAATTTTAATTTCCAGCATTATATAAAAGTCATATGATAGCTATTAATTTTGAAATGATGCAGTTTAAAGAGATTCATTATAAGGAGTTACTGTAGAGTCCCTCCAACTCCCAATATCTCAACATTCTGTATAACTCGACAGTTTTTTAAGATCTTTTATAGATATCTCTAGGCCAAACAGAGCAAATGTTACATTGAGTACATATAATTATTATTTATGCATATGTCTTTCCTATTCTTTTCAAAGATTTGAGTGTTTTTTTTTTTTCTGTAATTTTTGTCGTTTTTGCATAGTGTCATTAATCCTTGAAACAGCCTAACAAATTTCAAGATATGTTGTAATATTATGTAAGTTTTGTGCCTGCATCTTATTGCAAACTAGTTCATTGCAGGTTTTGTTCATCAATTCACATCCATGCATATAAGTGTTAATGTATTTTTGGAAACTTTTGATTTTGATTTTTTGTTAAGTGAAAATGCTATTAAAAAAGAAAAGAAAACAAACTAATGCCTTAAAGAGACTGGACAAAGGGGAAAGCGTAAACAAAATTACCATGGATTTAGGTGTTGGACGGACTACTTTGATAGGGTGGAAAAAGAAGAGGTCCAAAATCGTGTCTTGGGGTGTGAAAAGAGCATGTATGGATAGTTTAAAGGGGGGAAAAAAGTATGAAAGGTGGTGAATATGAAAAAGTGAGTGAGGCACTTTTTTTGTGGTTCAGACAGCAAAGGGAACCTCCTTTTCAGGACCAGTTTTACCAGAGGAAACTAATTTTGTGATGGATTTCAAGAATGAGAACCTAGATTTACTGTTAGTGTTGGCTGGCTCGACAAATGGGAAAAGCGGTATGTCATCAGGCAGTTAAACATTTGTGGGGAAAAGCTATTTGCTAACTTCGAAAATGCTGCAATATTCAAGAATAATTTCTGCAAACTAATTGAAAAGGAGGCTATATCTGGAGATAAGTTTATAACTGTGATGAGACTGGTTTGAATTCATGAATGCTACCTTTGAAAACGCTGGCGTCCAGGGGAGAACAATTGGCACCTGGATACAAAAGAAGCAAGGAGAAAGTCACAATTTTGGCATGCAGCAAGCAGCCATAAGCTCAAACCAGCGCTTATAGGTAAATCAAAAATTCCCCGCATATTTAAAAATGTAAAAAAGTTCAGTAATGGGACCGAAACCAACTATGATCTTCCTGTTTGGTGCCAGAATCAGTCAAATGCATGGATGATTTTAGCAATATTTAATGACTGATTTCATCAGCAAACTGGTGGAAAAGTTTTTAATATAAAAAAATCTACTAAGGAAGGCGATTGTCATTCCGAACAATGCCTCATCCCATCCTGATGCAGAACAGTTACAAGACAGATATAAGAGCAATCTTTCTCCCTCCTAACATAACTTCATTGTGTCAGCCGATGGACCAGGGCGTTTTAGAGGCATTGAAGAAAACATACAGTCATAAACTTCTTTAATTTTTTGTCCTAGTCGTGGAGGAAGGGTGTGATGTGATCGAGAAACTGAAGAAAATAGATACGTTGGATGTTGTTGGATTGATAGCTTATTCTTGGAGTGAAATCAAGCAGATAAGCCTCAGTCTTTCCTGGAGAAAGTTGCTTGATCATTCAGGAAATGATTTCATGAAAGCAGAGAAGAGACAGAAAGTTGTGAAATTGATGACTTATTTAAAAAAATTCCAGTCTGCAAAGAAGTTATTGAGGGTGATGTTGAAGAATGAATGGGATAAGATGAAAATTGTGAAATTTTAGAACATGCAGAAACAGTTGTACCGGTGAAAGATAGTGTGGATAAAAATGAAAAGATTGAAGACAGTGGAAAAGCTAAAATGGTGGCCCATAGTGAAGGACTGAAGGCCGCTGAAGGAATGTTCCTTTGTGTGGAGGAGCAAGGTGCATCTGGTATGGACATTTTGTTCCTCCGTCATGTACGGGATCAAGCTGCACGATGACTCCTGTTTTGCTAGACTGTGACATAAAAAATCAACATTAATTTAGTTATATGCTGTACATTTCCTTGTCCAATATTGTACTGCAAATGTGTAGAGTAATTTACAGTTAAATATTGAGAGTTCTGAAAAACCCACCCCTTACTCCATAAAACTCGACTTTCCAGAAACTCGACAGTCTCTTAGTCCACATTGGGTCAAGTTTGTGGAACTGTGCTGTTCTATTTTTAAAACAGAAGGAAATTTCAAAATAAAAATGCAAATTAAAGTTAGAATTTTGTATTGTATGATTTTTATTTTATATATTCATTTTTCTGAATGAGTTATATGAATAAATTTGATATTTAAATTTCTTTTCTATAGCGTGAGCAGCTATTAGAACTAGAAAGCAAAGTCATGAAATTAGAGAAAGAGATAGAAGAACATTTATCACATCCTCCTGACCGAAGTGCCAAATCTAGATTTGTTAACGAGTATGTGGAGAAAGAGCAGTTCTTGCAGTATGAGGTAGGTAAATCAACTGTTCGTATTAAATAAATATTGGCATTAAATAATTGATCCTTAAATAATTAATCATTTAATTTTTCTTTACATGTATCATTAAATAACATTTTTTATTTTCCTTCTTTTTGTAATTTTATTTTATTTATTAAAATTTACTGCATCTGTTAGTAAAAATATACAAAATTTAATAATTTTTGTTTTAGAGAATTATCTTAGAATGAATATTTATGCATTGGTTACATTTATGTAAATGTATAAATTTTTACATTTTTATTTTTCTAATTTCTTTTACAGTTGAAGAAAGAGTTGACTATACATAGAAAATATAAATCTCATTACATTATACTGTGCTAGATAAATGTCTTAATGAGTCATGTTTGGATATGCTCAAATAATTCAAAACTTTGAGATGTAGGATTCATGCATTATTAACTATAGAAGGAAATATTAATAATTATGGGTGGCTGAGTGTTTAATAATAGCTAAATGTAGATATCATTTAACTATTTGATTAGTATATTAATTATCTATTAGAAAATTCTGACTGAAGGCAAAATTTAAAATGGTAGTTGAAAGTAGGCTAATGGCTAATTTGTTGTATCAATATAATTAATTGGGTGCAGATATGTTTTCAGAATAATTTGTAGTATTAAACTTTATTTATCTGAATTATATTTTTTCTTATTACATTTCATTGATCTTTGGCTTATTAAATTTCATTTCATCTTAGTTAAATATATCAACTAGGGATATTTGCAGATATTTTATGAAGATTCAAACAATGTTTAATCAGTTAATAGTTGTGCTTAATCTTTTTACTTCAGTATATGGTACATCACTAAGTTTATCTACACAAATACTATTAATACATTAATTATTAATTTTATATTCGTCATATTTGAAAGTGCTTTCATAAACAAAAGCTTTTCCTCACTACTCAAGCTTCTCAGTGTAAAAGTATAAGAAAATTAAAAAATGAAATTGGGCAAAGAACATAAAATTTAGAATATCCAGTTAGTAAATGCTAATATATTTTACATCAAAATTGAATCACTAACAATTAGTTAATCTGAACCAGGTATTATAAAGTGAATTAAAATTAGTTTGGTGTTCCTTTGAAATGGCATTGCTACACAACATGAAAGACCTTTCAGTGTAACACAAAAAAGGCAATCCTTTTAAAAATCTGGCCAACCAGTGGCCTAGTGGTAAAAGTTGCTGAACACTGATAGTTCTTACCTGCATTTGATTCAGGGCGAATGGATTGGCTGCATGGGTGTTTTTATGGTGCTCACCATGTGTAATGTGTATATGAGCCAGCTTCCCTTAAAAAGTCTTCCATGAAAGCATCCCTTCCCTTAGGCAGATACCCCTTGTGTGCTTTGCCACAATTAACCTGTTAACTGGGGAATAAGCTTTCAGTAAAATCGTTTCACAATGGGGACTTTTCCCCTTGCAGTAATTTCAGCACATCGCAAGAAATAAATAAAAGAAAATCATTTTAAAATATTTAATGATATTAAATATTAAAATTAAACATTTTTAATCTGGAAAAACAAATTAATTGAACGAATTTAAACAATTATTTCATATGATATTCCCTAAAGGAATGCGGCATACACAAAACAACACTGCAGTCGGGACACCAAAATCTCGATTCTTTCCCAAGACCTTTGGAATAGCATAGTTTGCATCTCCTCATTACATTTACTCTTGAAGAGTTGGATGGTATATAGTCTGCAAAATGTCTTTCAAAAAGTCAAAGTTTTGGTGTCAAAGATGATCGTCCTGTACTAGTAGATGGCAACTGCGATCCGTCTCTATATTTTTCAACACCTTTTTCTACACTTTCGATAAGGAAATGAAACCTATCTAGGTGACCGCCATCTTTCTTGTATAAAAGATATGCATTCAAACACACCATGTCTAGTGCATGTTAAAATATCTTATAGTAATATTTTTTTACTTGGTTTCTAGCGATTTCATAAGTTTTCATTTGTCCGTCAGCAAGATCAACTCTTCCCATATTTTTGTTGTAGTCAGCGATAACTTCCGGTTTTGATATCGTTTTCCGTCGTTTTTCTATTTTTCTATTTCTACAAATTTATTGTCGTGGATAGTACACAATATAATTACATTCTTTTTGTCTTTCCACTTCATAATCATTATTTTGTCTCTGTACCTAGCAGATGTTCATCTTTTTTCAAAACACAATTTTTGATATCAGATGGTATTCCCTTTCTATTTTTTCGCATAGTTCCTACAACATCGGTTTTTCTTCTGCACATCTTCTCAGCTAGATCAGTATTAGTATACCAATTATTGAGATATAGCGTATATCCCTTATCCAATAAATCGTGGCACAATTCAAGAACAATAAGATTTGGTCCCTGTTCTTCTGGATAGTTCGAACCATACTGCACGTCTTTACCTGTATATATAATGAAATCACTTATGTATCCGGATTTACTTTCACATATCTTATACAATTTAACACCAAATCGACTTTCTTTTCGATGGAATGTACTGTTTCCAAGAACAGTCTTCCTTTTCCATAGCAAAAGAGACTCATCTACAGATATTTCCTTATCTGGTACATATAACACCTTGAATTTGTTTCTCAAATAGCTTCAAAATGGAATCGATTTTGTAGGTTTTTTTGTTGCACACTTTTAGATTGAAAGCATTGTTATCACTAAAATGTAAAAATTTTACTGACATTTAAAAAAATCTTTTCTCTGATTAATTTTATAAAAAAATGGAATCTCCCAGACTTTCTCGCTTTGTTAAATGAAGCTGATAAGCTAAAGAAGGTTTTCCTATTATTCCTTGCAAAATTGGTAAAAAAATAAAATACTCTCATCTCTCGGTCATCTGTGTCAACCCACGAGAGACATCTTGAACGCGGTTTCATGGAAGTATTTTTTTCAAAAAACTGTCCAGCATATTTGTTTGATTGTTCCACAATAAGTTCTGCAAAATTCTCATTGATAAATTTCTTGAAATAAAAAAGGCAATCCTTTTCTTCAGGTCCTTCAAATGTAAGTCTAGATTGAGATAAAAACGGGAAAGGCGATCGCAATATTCTTTCACATTTCCATTCAGCTGATGTCGGTATTGAGTATTTTGGCCTATAACATCATCATCCTTTGATTCAATGTTCGGACCATCAGTAAAGAAGTCGTTATCGCTTTCTTCCGAATTGGTACTTATTCTTAGAATTCGACGTCGTTTACCAAACCTCCTGGGCAATATTTTCATCGTCACTTTCAGACAATTCAAAATATTTTTCTGCTTCACAAAATAATTTTTAGCCATATTTATAAAAACTAACAATTACTCAAATCAACAAGTTATTACTAATATGTAAAATACTGAAATGCAGACTAAAATGAAATTAAGTTGTGCAAATTAGGAGTGTTATCACAATTCATGAGCGGACAAGTGTTTCCATTGATCGATTTTTCTTGAACAACGGTCAAGTGACAGATTGCAAAAAAATGTAAGAAAAATTTCGTCATGCCCATTGAAATAGTCTTCCCAGCATGACAAAAAATTTCATCGTACCCAGTTAACAGATTAAATAAACCAAGCTTTGTTGCAAAAATCTCCCAATTTTGAAGACTTCAAGATTGACACCTATGGTGTATGTATCTTTACATATAATAAAAGAAAGAATCTGTCTGTGTGTGTGTGTCTGTGTGTCTTTCGTTCGCGCTGCGCGTAAGCTAATAGACCCACGGATACGAAATTGGTACATACATGCATCTAGACAAGAGCCAGTGTACCTCGAAGCGATTTGTTTCGAAATTCGAATTCGAATTTTTTTTATTTTATGTTTTGTGATGAAATCGTGTCATTTTGAGACATAATGGGCTATAGGAAAGCGAGATTTTACTCTACACACTCCATTTTCACATCGTCGTGAAACGTAGGCACTTAGCTATTTTACGAACGTAAAATAAATTTTGTGTTTCAATAAATTGATTAAATATGAATTTATTTAACAAAGTGAGCTTAACACCTTTTCAACGGGATTTTTTCTAAAAACGTTTATTTTGTAAAATATACAGTTTATTTTTATTTGATTTTGGACACGTTAAACTTTCATCCTTGTGACTGCTTTTACAAAAAGAATTTTGGAAAAATGATAATATTTTGTATTTAAAAAATTTTTTTTTAAATGAAGCTTCCGAGTACACTTCTTACATCTCACATCTTTAAAAATGTGATTTTGGCAACGATTTTCCTTTCTTATTGTTGTTGATAGATTTTTTGTTGAAATTGCATCATTTTGAATAGTTTCTCTTAGAAATATGTGTTTGGCAACAATTTTTCATCATATTTCTTATGTCACTGTTTTTAAGAGATTGGCATATTTCATTGTCATTTTTTATGTATATAATACATTTTTATTGATTTTGTTTGATAAAGTTATTCTGCAGAGTAAAATTCTGCACGGATTTTTTTTTTGTTTTTTGAGTTTCTTTCATGTTATTTTTTGCTTCACTGTTTGTAAGATATTGAAAAGTTTTGCATGATTTTGTTTCTTTCAACGGAAAGTTGGTTAATTTTTTTATTAAATGTTCTGTTATGTTAAATTGCTGCGATGTGACTGCTGACACATTTTCTCAGAAGATTTCTAAATTATCATAACATTTCAATATTTCAGAAAAAGAATCATTCAAACTATCGAGTAAGAAACTGTTTAAAAAATTTTAATTTTATTGTAGATTTTTGATATAATTTTTATGTAGTTATGGTGGTGGTTAAGAACAGGGTATAAATTATGCTTTAACAAATGTTTAGTGCACATCTCATGCAATCAATTTGCTCAAAATTCAAGATGTATATGTTTTTCTGAAGATACATCAAGGCCGTATGCAAGGGAGGGTTGGAATCTTAACAAAGAGAAAAAAGTTGGAAGAACTTACGCGGCCATTGGTCCCAGGTGTGTCTTTTAAGCATTTTTCCGGTACGTTTAAAAGCCAGACGAAGGCTGG